GAGGATGTTATATACCCTTTTGGTATATAACATTCTAATACATCTATCTTTACATTTTACCTTCAAAAAAACCCTCAAAATAAAAAAAAAAAACTAAGGAAAGGTTTGCACACAGTATCATTCTTGGATGGTTACAAAGAATACAGAAGTAGAAAGAGGAGAATGAAAATAAATAAAAAGATAATTAACAGTTATTAAGTTAAGGGAAAGGCAATATACAATAAGCCATTGACTAGATATTTTAATTAAACAAAATGATGAATTATTGCATGAAAACCCAATATGATCTATTAATTTAGATCACAATAAAACAAATTTGTCAAAAAGAATTCATGTTAGTCAAGGTGTTTTGGGGGCGTGTGTATCAATAGCCAACATTACTCTGAATGGAGAAAGATTGAGAGTACTTTCCTTGAATCTGAATAACAAATATACCTGTTTATCCCACTCTCATTCAGTATTGTATTAGAAGTCCATACTAGAACATAAAAAAGGGAAGTAAGAAATATCCAAATGGGACAGATTTCCCATGAGCACAATTAAGTGTTGAGGGATATCTATTCTTTTCAGTGTTATTCATAATTTGTCTGCACAGATTTTCAAAGTTAGTCACACAAATTTTGTCTACACAGTCAAGTACCTTTGTCAATGAAACACAGACATTCTTCTGGTATTCTCTTGTTTTCTGCCTACATCAGGCTAATGTTGGCTATGATGGCCCTAGTCCTGCAGCCTTTTCTAAACCCATCTTGCACATGTGGCAGTTCTCTGCTGATGTACTGTTCCAGTCATTTTTGAATACTCTTCAGCAGGATCTTGCTTATGTGTGGATATTTGTGATCGAGTTGTAGACAGCTCATGGCGACCCTATTAACAAGAGCCTAGAACATGTATAACTTTCATAGTTTCTCCAAGTTCTTAGAGTTTCCAGAGGCAAGCTATTTTGGAAGTGGATGTCATTCCTGCTTCCAAACCTGTTTTAATTTGGGAGCTCCATTAAAAACTGTCCACCATAGGTAATCATTATTGCACTTGTCACAGTATTTACCATCTCAGCAATCTTAAGTTACCTCTGTACACCAAATTGACAGACCAGTGCTGTTAGACTCTAAATAATTAAAACCAGGCCTGTGGGCCCAAATGCCTTTTTAAATATGAGCCAAAATCAAATCAGCTCATACCCAATTGCGAGCAACAGTCCATTCCTAAGCCTTGACCAAAACAGAAAACACACCTTTGTAGAATCCATCTGCTGTGATATTGTTCAGTAATTTCTACATTCTTTTTGGTAACTTTTTTGAAATAGAACTAAGTATAGCTCTAATCTAGTCAGTTGGCCAGATTTCTCAGATTTTTTAGTGTGTCCAAGGGAGCATCTGTTTGCTGAAAATATGTCAGCAGATCAGGGAACACTACATGGTTCAGGCTCAGGAAAGGTATACATCAGGGATGCATCCTATCTCCACACCTTTTCAATCTATATGCAGAACAGGTCATTCAGGAGGCTAGACTTAATGAGGAGGAATGTGGCTTCAGGATTGGAGAAAGACTCATCAGTAACCTGTGTTATGTAGATGATACAACCTTGCTTTCTGAAACTCAGGAGGACATAAGGTGTTTGCTCCAGAACCTCAAGGACTGTAGCCTTCAATATGGATTGGAACTCAACATCAAGAAAACAAAGATTCTTACCACTGAGCCAATTGGCACCTTCATGATAGATGAAGAAGTGATTGAGATTGTTAACAGCTTTAGTTTGCATGGTTCCACAGTTGAAACTCTTTGCACCAGTAGTGAGGAAATAAAAAGACAAACTGCTTTGGGAAAGTCTTACTGTCAGGGACTTCTGTAGAGTACTGAAGAGCCAACAATGTCAGTGTGGAGACTAAGGTGTGCCTGATCCAGGCCATGGTCTTTGCCATTACTTGCTATGCACCAGAGAGCTGGACAGTTGACTAAGGATAATAGAAGAAGGATTGATGACTTTCAGTTGTGGTGATGAAGAAAAGTGTTTAGTATACTGTAGACTGCCAAGAGCATAGACAGGTCTGTCCTAGAGAGAGTGAAACAAGGCTGCTCCTTAGAGGCAAGGATTTTGAAGCTCTGTCTCACATACTTTGGGCATGTGGCCAGGAGGGACTAGTCCTTGGAGAGGGACACCATGCTTGGAAGAGCTGAGGGACAGCATAAGAGGAAGATCCAGGATGAGATGGAGTGACTGGAGAAATTGGATTAGGTCTATTGGAGACAGTGAGTTTGGCTAAGGACAGGGCAGGCTTCAGATCTATTGTGCATAAGGTCAGTATGAGCACAGGCAACTCATTGGCATGTAACAAAAAAATTAAGACTCAAAATAACAAGTTGGAAAGGAAGAAGTAAATCTATCCTTATTTGCAGACAATATGATTTTACACACACCAAAAAATCCCAAAAACTTTACAAAAGTAAAGAATAGTTCAAGTTGAATGCACACCCATGTTTATTGCGGCTTAGTTCACAATAGCAAAGAGTTGGAAACAACCCAAGTGCCCATCAACAAACGAATGGATAGAGAAGCTCTGGGGTACTATGCAGCATTGAAAAACAAGGAACTCATGAAATATTATACAAATTGGGTGACCCTGGAGGATATTATGCTGAGTGAAATATCTCAGTCACAAAAGGACAAATACTGCATAGTGCCACTGTTGTAAAAGGGGACTGACATTGAGGTTGAGGGAAGACTGATAAAGGGGGGATAAATAATGTATACTGCACTGGAACAGATGAGGGAGAGAACTGTTTAAAAGGGATATATGATTAGGTGTTATTGTCATGACAGGAGTCCAGAATGAAGGCTGCACAGTGGAGTGGACTTGGGGAAAGGGACTATATAACAATAAAACAATTTTTCTTTTACTTTTCAAAGAGAAGAGCAAATTGGGGGGAGGAGGTGGGCAGGGAGAAAAGTGCAACAGTGAATGAATGGAAACCCTAAGTCTCTGTAAACTTTCATTAAAATTAATAAACTTTTTAAAAAACCCAGAATATTCTTTCTTTAAAAAAATAGTACAGCAAAGTAACATGTACAGGACCACATAAGAAGATCAATTTACATTTCTCTACATTAACAAAAAAGACTCTGAAAAGAAAAGCAGGTCAGTTAATTGATAGTGGCTCCCCTCCCCTAGAGTATAGCATTCCTAGGAATGCACATAACTAGGTGAGGTGGGCTATAGGGAATTTGGCTCCTAACCCAGAGGCAGCACCTATCTGATCATTTGAATGCACCAGCAACAACATGGAAGAAAGATTGGCAACCTGTATGATTTACAGCTTAACCTGCTGGAAGGTTAAGCAATAAGTATGACTTAACTATGTGAGGAGGAGAAAATGGGCCATAGGGCACAGGACCTCGAGCTTTTCTCTGAAAGGGTCAGAGTCAGTGAGAATAGCACAGCCCCTCACTGCCCCAGAGCAGAAAGCAGATAAAGAGCAGGTATCCCAGCCCCATGGTGCCTCTAGAGCCACAGCAGCAGCAAGAGGCTCATTTATTTGTTGCCGACTCAGTACTGAGAATGGGGTTCATTGGGGAAGTAGGTTGGTGAGGCAGGGAGGCAAAGAATATTGTCCAATACAAGTCCAGGCTTTAGCCCAAGTTCCAAGGCACAATTCCTCAATTAGCCAGGCAATGGTTTCAGTTCAGCAAGCACAGCAAAAACCTTTAACTGTGGCCAGTATAAATGCAAGAAGCCTCAGGTGACAGCTTGCTACAGTTTCTCCATAGCAGTGCCGCAGTCTTTCTACCACCATCACCAGGGTCTTGCCACCAGGGTCTCACACTCAACTGTGTCTTGCCCCAGTCTCCCTCCAGTCTTACCGCCACAAGTCACGCTTACCTCGTCTTACCCAGTGTGGAAAGCACTACTGTTTCACTTATCCTAGTCCCACAACTGTTAGTGGTTTGCAAGACCATGTGTCGGCAGTTTAAGGTAGCTGGAGACCAGAGGGGGCTAACTGTAATACCTTTAAAAAGCCAGCTTTTAGGCTAACACTCCACTTACCACAAGGAAAACCAACACACTATTGCAAGAAGCAAAAAGATATCTATGTAAGTAGAAGAAAAACTCTGATGAAAAGATAGAATATGTGAAAAAGTACTGATAATCATCATCTGAGAAAAGTTTGTATTTGTTAAGGATATCTGCTAATTGAATCCATGATCACTCATAGAAGCAGCAGTTAATAAATGAAGGTATGTTGGACAAACCTGTGGAAGGCCTCTTTGAACTTTTAAATGAGTGAAGATGTCTCTTTCAAGGCTAATGTGCACCTGCTCCAAGGAAGGCTGACAAAGACTTGATGGCTTTAAATTAGGGTGTTGGCAAAGGACATTGAATATACTGTGGACTGCCAAAATAACAGAAAAATTTGTCTTGGAAGAAGTACAGCCAGAAGTGCTCTTTAGGAAAAAGGAAAGTGAGAGGTCATCTCACATACAGGGAGCATGTTCAGGAGGAGCCAGTCCCTAGAAAAGGATTTTGAGCTTGGAAAAGAGAAGAAGACCCTCAGTAAGTGGATTGGCATAGTGACTAGCACAGACACGTGAGGATGGTGTGTGTCTGGACAGAATTCATTAGCTTGCTGTGAGTTGGAATCAGCTCCCCAACACCTAAGTATTACTAAGTTTATCTCACAAATGTAATTAAAACTGTAACAAATACCTAAAAAGAAAAACTCGTGGTGCTATGAGCATATGTTAGAGAAGAATCTTTAGGACACAGTAACCAGTGGTTTACGTGTCACCTTACTGATGGACACCTTTTTCTCTAACTGCTGCAGTAATAATTCTTGATAACATCCTGTATGTTGTCAGATTAGATCCAGGTGGTAAATTTCTAGTATTGGCGTGTATGCATTTCAGGTTTGCTAAATAATTACCAGGAAATGAAGGCCTAAAAGTATTCCTCCCTAGGATTTCTCCTGTAAGGTTAGTTCTCTCTCCCTCTCTTGTTTTATAGGAAAGAGGAGGAGGAGCGAAGGATTCGTGAAGAAGAAGAACGAGAACGTCTGCAGAAGGAGGAAGAGAAGCGTAGGAAAGAAGAGGCAGAAAGGCTTAGGCGAGAGGAAGAGGAGAGACGGCGAATAGAAGAAGAAAGACTTCGACTGGAACAGCAAAAGTAAGTGTGCTGTGGCTTGTCTCTGCACACAACAAGTGGCAGATTAACTTGACATTTTACCATAGTGTGCTTTCAGGAGAGTCTGTGCACCTTGAGGGTGAGAGGTAAGTCAGTATTAGTCACCTACTATGTTGGACCAGTCTTCACTTAGTAAACAGGGCTCTGTCTTAAGCAGCACTTGGTGGCAGAAGGAAAGTCTGTTAGGAGGATTTGGGTTCATCCAGCGGAAGCTACGCTCTGGCTGCACATGATCTCTTGTCTTCACTTCTCTCAGCTGCTGTCACTATTTTGCCTTTTCTGCCCCCTGTGAATTGTCACTCTGCTTTGGCACATGCAAAGCTCTCCAGCAGATTTAGGTGCTCTGTGTTTGCGTGCATCTGACACAGAATGGCTGGTACTGAGACTACTATTTTCCAGTAGAGAGAATCCAGTTGGTCCAGCCTGTTTTACACTGGGAAGATGAAAGCAGGTATATCAGGAGAGAGTTATAGATGGAAGGAAGAGGTGATGAATCCTCATGAACATGACAGGGCACAGGCCTGGAGCCCCAGGTGTGGTGTAAGGTGCAGGTTGAGCCAGGGCCCCAGGTGTGGTGTGAGGTACAGGTTGAGCCAGGTGTGGTGTGAAGTGCAGGTGGAACCAGAGATGTGACCGTCTGTGGGTTTCTGCTTGTTGTTTCTGGGTAGTGCCACAGAAGGAACTTCCATGCTAGCCTCATGGTGATCCAGGGCTTCATTCTACTTTTGCGAGACACTCTGAGTACAACTTTCCCTCACCTTCTGCCGCTGTACCCTAGGAGGTGACCTCTGAAGATTGTATGTCACTCTACTACTTTAGAAGTTTGAAAAGGTTTGTGTTATTAATAGGTTATATTAAGATTTTTTTAGGGGGGGAGGGCTGGGCAGGGAGAAAGTGTAGCAATGAATGAATGGAAATCCAAAATCTCTGTAAATGTTCTTTAAAATTAATAAAATAAAATTTAAAAAAAGAAAAACAAGAGTAAATTAGAGAATTTTAAATAGGCTATCTCATCACAACAATCTATTTTCAAATTAAACAATGGAGATGTGACTTTAAAAAAAACAACATTTTTTAGGTTGATCAGTTTATAGAAATTAGTATTCTGTACCAAGAGTAGCTATCCCTGGTGGTGTATTGGTTAAAATGTTTGACTGTTAACCAGAAGATCAGCAGTTTAGACCCACTAGCAGCTCTGTAGGTAGCTCTGGTCGTTGGCCTATTGGTAGGGAGTTGCAGTGCCAACCCAAAGGTGTGTGGTTTGAGTTCAATAGCTGCTCCAAGGAAGAAAGATGGGCAGTCCCCTATGGTGTGATTCAGTGCCTAGGAAAACTCTGAAGGGTCAACTGTGACTTGGTTCCTAATCACTGGCAGAAAGTGAGTGTGTGTGAGAAGCGCATTAGGAGAAAAGGCCTGGCAATCTGCCTGTATGAAAATTTCAACACAGGAACACCTGGGCCCATGGTTCTACCACACAGGATCTTTTAAGCCAAAATCAACTAAAAAACGTGCATCTTTTAACTCATCTTACTACTTTTCCTGTGTTTAAGTGGATGAGCCCTGCCCAACAGTTGAATTGCTCATGTTGCCATAGATCACATCCTGACTAAAGAGTATCCAGTCTAGGCACTGGAGCAAGCGTTCCAGGTTCGAACAGCCTGGCTCTGGCACATAGCAGTGTTAACCAGGCGAGGTCCTTATGCCCCTTCCTCCTCCTCTGTGAAGCCCTCATAGAGCTGTGATCAGACCTGGGTGGGTTCATTGTACATGTCCTAGAACACGCTCTGGTATTGCTGGATACCATGATGGAGGCTAAGCAGTTAGTGATGGTGCTATATTGGATTAGAAATCTGTTTTTCTCCCTCCATAGATTTTTCCCTTGGAAACCCTAAATAAAAAGTTACGGGCCAAATTTATTTTTGTAAATCTTTTTTCTGGGCCTGAGATTGTGTTGATAGAGATACATTACTAGTGTAGTCATTTTGAAGCGTTAAAAAATTCAGAAAATAAATTGCACATTTTCTTTTGTCACAGTCTTGTGGAGTCGGTCTAGTGTAGATTTTCTTCTGTTTCCAGGCAGCAGATAATGGCAGCTCTGAACTCGCAGACAGCGGTACAGTTCCAGCAATATGCAGCCCAGCAGTACCCAGGGAACTACGAACAGCAGCAGATCCTCATCCGGCAGCTCCAGGAGCAGCACTACCAGCAGTACATGCAGCAGCTGTACCAGGTCCAGCTTGCCCAGCAGCAGGTATGCTCAGCGACCCAGGAGTCAGCCTGGCAGAAGATCATTCATTTCATTGGAGCCCATGTTCTTTTTTAAAAAGCAGTTGCTATTAAATTTTGCATTAGTAAGCCCTGAAAGGATCACGTCACTTTTAGGTGACACTTAACGAAGGACAGACATATATATATCCGTCCTGGTAGCTAATGAGCAACAATCAGTGGTATTGAAACAGCAGCTGTTGTGACCACTGTCAGCTGTTGAGAGGTATTCAAGAGTTGGATGGGCCAGCTATCATTGCAGTGAGATTCGCATGGACTCTTGAGTATCCCTGAGATCATGACAGATGGAATGTGCCCTTCAGACAGTGATCTGTCAGGTGACTTCCAGTGGGAGACCCCCACCCCAGTGTTTGCAGACTTTTCTTCAAGAGCTAAGTTGTGTCCATTCTGGCATCATGCTGGGTGAACCTGGTGTCCTTGATTTGTGGAAATGAGCATACTCCAGGATTGGTATCCCTAATTAGTTTTATACCATAACTAGGCAGTGCTTATCAGACCTTGATAATCTTCTTCCAGCTTCCCACCCCTGTGGGGAAAGAACACAGGACTGCAAGCCAGATATGTTTGGACTCTGTCCTAGCTTTGCCATTTGCCTAGTTGGATCACAAGTTACCTCCTGTTCTGATCAGGTGCCACGACTGTTGGTCTCGAAGAACTTGCCCTGGTAAGATCTGGAGGCTTAGAAAAAAAAGACAACAAAAAACACAAGACGAACTTCACTGTCTCCTCGTTCTGTGCGGTGTCAACTCAAAAGGACAGTGTGGGCTGTAGGCTGCCCCCGAGAACCAGCGAAC